CGCAAGGTGGGGCGCCCTCCTACGGACAGTGGCCCTGGCCGGTGATCAATGCGATTGTGCCGTGGGGAAGCCCGCCGCCAGTAGCCGGACCGCGAACGAGTATGCCGCCACCCATCTACCCCGCGGCCCAGGCCCAACCTGTGGCCCCGCTACCGTCACCCGATCCCAGTTCACAGGGCAGTGTTGTAGGAGGAGGGAATCAGGGGCAAGGCAATCAAGACAACAGAGGTAGGGGTGGAGGAAGGGGCCGAGGCAGGAATGACGGCGGAAGAGGAAGGCAATGGAATGGCCAAGGCCAGGGGTACTAGGGCCAAGGGGGCCAAGGCCAGGGATACGAAGGCCAATGGAGTGAAGGTCATGGGTACCAAGGCCAAGGGAGTCAAGGCCAGGGGTACCAAGGCCAGGGCTATCAAGGCAAGGGGTATCAAGGCCAGGGGGATCAGGGAAGTCAGGGGTATGGAAGACCCCGTTTTGACTGAAGGACGGCCATCTGTCAACATTGTGACCAGCAAGGCCACACTATAAGATTCTGTAATATAAGACGGGAAGACGAGAGAAGCGGACTGATTTCCTCTACTATGGATGGGAATATCTACAATCAGTTTGGGGAGGTCATCGACAGAAGGCTTGGAGGAGTGAGGGCTGAAGCCCAGCGAAGAGCGGCAGCTGGGCCGCAACTGCCTGCCATGTTCAGGCTATGGCAGGAAAAGGTGGAACCACCGATTGGGGAGGAGAAAGTAGGGAGTGATGAGGAAGTGGTTCAAAGGCTACTAGGAAGGAGTAAGAAGAAAGATCCCTTAATCATTGAGGCAGAAGACGAAAATGAGCAGGAAAGAACGGAGCCTCCGTCCGTCTTATATGGGAGGTTGGAGGACCTGCTGGATAAGATAGGGAGATACCAACAGAAGCTGGTGGGCCTCTGTGAGGAAGTGAAGAGGTGGAAATCTAGCATCCCCCAGGTGTTCCTCTACGACTCCGGTCTGGAATCAGCACCTGCGCGACCCGAAGTAAATATGGTGGGGTCATGCCCACAATCAGGAATGAGGGGGAGACCCCTCACTACGCAGACACGGCTGGCGCAGGCAGCGCGAACGAGGAATCAAGCCAGAGTCAGCGCCAGCCAAGAACCTTCGAGGAAGGGGGCGGAGCCAGGAAAGAGAAAGGAGGCCGTGGAAGTAGAAGATGATGATAATGACGATGAAGAGGAAGAGGACGAGAGGCTGCGTAGGGAGGAGGATCAAAAAGCAGAGCAGCGGGCGAGGAAAAAGGGAACTAGGGGAGAGGTCGAGCCGGTCGTGCGCGATGGACCGCCCAAAAGGAAGAAGTATGCGGTTTGGTTGGAAGAGGGATTTGACGTAGAGAAAGTGATCGACCGGCTGCTAGAAGGGCATAACGATCTCATGACCCTGAAGGAAATCCTAGCGTCAGCCCCGCGACTCCGCAATGAATTGAAATGGAGGTTGTCGCGACGCTTGGTGCCAAATGTCCATCTGGGTACGATCCTGCCCCAGGAGGCAGAGTGGTCAGAGTCAGGCACAAAGATGGACTGGAAGTGCGTAGCCTGCGGTACGGTGGATTTGATGGTGAAGGGTTCCAAGTGCGCAGCAATGGTGGACAC